TCGTCCGAGGTGGGGGACGGTCAGGTACGTCTTTTGGGGGTTCCTTTACGTACTGCCCCTGATGATATGGGTTCCCATATCTTTGCGTCCTACGCTCACCCCTTTTACGATAATCACGTTCATCCTCTGAAAGAGGAGCTTTTTTGTCCCAGCGCGCACCTTCATGACGCGGTTTGTTAGTATGAAAATACTGCCTTTTCTCGCCCGTTTCAGGAGGAGGTGGCGACGCACGCCTTCCTTCCATTTTTAGGGAGTGGGGTTTAACCTTTATACCAGGAAACACCTCTATGGGCGTCTTATCATGAGAGCATGCCTCGAACACATTTACAGCACACTGTTTAATTTCACTGATGGATTTTTCTCTGAAATTTGCCATCATTTGTACTGATCGTCTAAAATCAGTGTGGAGATTTTTGCTGAAAACAAACTTAAAACCTTCCTCTTCCTCCATTCCGGTTTCATTTCTGTTACCAAAATAAGCTTGGAAGATTCTTTTGTAATAAACTCTTGGATGTTCAGTTTTACCCTGCGTGACCTTGTCTGCAGCTGGGAAACCAGCAGGTCCCGTGCAGGAGTCGTACTCTCTGATCAAAGCTTCACACAGTAGGTTGTAATCCCTTCTCGTTGCATCAGGTAGACGCTCGATGAAGGTGAACACCTCTCTGTCCGAAGTGAGCCGGATCAGACTGACCTTATCCTCAACCGTAGCATTAGGATAACCTCTCAATCTGAACTCAAGATCTCTGAGGTACGCTTTTGTTCCAGATGAGCCCATCGGTCCAGGTACAAAGCGTTGTACATATTTTGAGATTTTTTGCAAATCATCCATTGAAGGAGACAGTATCAACGGTCTCTCTTGTGTGGTTGGTGGTGCAAATCGGTGAAGGTCTGCCCCTACCACCCGAGATGGGGGTGGGGATGACGGAATGGAGTTAAGAGTAGGAGGTGCAAGTCGGTGCAGGTCTGTCCCTACCACCCGTGATGGGGGTGGGGGTGACCGACTGGGGCTAATATTAGGAGGTGCAAGCCGGTGCAGGTCTGTCCCTACCACCCGAGATGGGGGTGGGGGTGACCGAATGGGGTTAATAGTAGGAGGTGCAACAGCATCTGTCTGGGGTGGTTGTGGCTGACCCGGACCCTGACCTTGTTTGTCTCTGCGTCCCAGACCAGCTCGCCCCACGTCAGAAATCTTGTTTGTTGCTGTGGCTAGATTCTCCTCACAAGCTTTCAGGCACTCCTGTGATGTCTGACATTCACCTTGTAAACGCACGCAATGTTGGAGCAATACCGCCTTTTCCAGTTTGCAATCCTCCAGCTCCTTTGATGCGATCTACAACTGTTGTTGTAGCGCACCGTTGTCTGAACACACGGCTTGGTACACACGGTCTTTATCCCTGGCTTCAGATAGTGACGCATTAAGTAACTGTATTTTGCTATTCATTGAATCAACTTCTGCACGCGCATCTTGCTGTAATTGAAACATCTGTTCATAATGTTTTTTCATGAGGACCTCGTGTTCGCTTTTAAATTGAAGGTAGTGATCTTCAATTTCCTGAGCAAACACGTTTTCACTGTCTAACCTTAGTGTAAGGTCATCAGCTTTCTCAACAACTGCATAGAACGATCCTTTCAGCAAAATTGCAATTTTAGCCAGCTGATCATAACTTGACTTTGTAATTTCTGTAGAGGTCACACATCTTGCAACCTCCATCAGATTGTCCACTAACTCTTTTGGGTTCATGCTGTCCGCCTGTTCGCCATATGGATGTAAGGATGCTGTCAGCAGCGCTAACGCATCTTCCAAACAGTCCTTCATCTCATAAGGATCAAAGTCCTTTTCTACCACACCTGTCATGTTCATTCACTGTGTAGCACTTTTTCTGGATAAAACAATTGCCAGCTTCAGATATTTTACAGGTTAATATATGTATCCTAGTGTTATTGAGTTTTCACACTATTTTAAGCTTTGGGTTTACACAAAAGTACTGTTATAAGTCAACTTATTCAACTGTGGGCACCTGTTTGTAGGTTTTACCCCAATTCATGAATATTCTTAAGTAAATGCTTCTCTGGCAGTGTTACTTAACGTGCTTATTTCTTAACAGATACTAGATTACCAAGCTCTTTTTTAGTGTATTTTACTCTAAAGCACTGAATTTTTAATAAACCTGCAATTTCTAAAAGTCTCACAGCACATCAGTTTAAAGACACTTTTAAACCGTTCCGTTCCAGAAATTTGCTATTTTACAGTTACTCATAGAACCAAGTGGTGAACAGAAAAAGAAAAATTGATGATGTGTCAGGATTAATTAGTCTTTCTTCAGAAAAACTGTTATTACTCCTGTCCTCCTGTCAGTATCTTCTATTTAAAATTAAATAGGAAGACGTAATTTTTAGGTGGTAACTTAAACAGAAAAGTTTCTTTTTCCTGATATATTTACTCTTATTTATTGATCTAGCAATTAAACGTGTATTATATTTCCAGCAAACGAGTAAACTCTCAGCTCTTATGATTATCTGTGACTGTGTCTACCAAAAAGTTCTCATTTTTTCATTTTGCACCTGCTTGAGGATTTATCAGTGAATGAAAAATTCCTAGTAAACGCCTCTCTGGGCATAAATACTTTACTGACTTTTAATGGTAAGATAACATAACAGTATAAATCAGCTCGAGGAAGTTTGTTA